CCATCGTTTCTGCCAACACTGTAGCACTGCTACCCTGGAAGCAAAGGTCAGATTCTCCAAGCTAACTCATGGATCAGTAGTCCTTTCTGCTCTCTATAGAGTTCACTGTGCAGGCTCATTTCCTAAGTGTTGACTAGTAGGCACGCTACAGGCACCAAGACATCTCCCTGTGACTGAAATTCACTGTTGCTAGACAGAAGAATTGGGTCTGTTTCGCAGCTGACAGTCTCATGAAGAAGTGCAAGTATAACTGTACTACTTAAAGACTACTGAAACCTAAAACATCCAAGATATATCACTTGTTAAGGCTTCTAAGGGGAAAAGCCTCAAGTAAATTTCTTACTGCTTTGGGACAGATGAGTTAACATGCTGGTTTGGAGACCTTTGGATTATTTAATTTGAGATCAGATTACAGCAGGCATCAGAAGCTCTAAAGACACCCTATAATTAATACTTCCAAAAAACAGAGAATCTGACATTCTGTCTGCAGACTAGACCAGGCCAGATTTGAATTCAAGTTCTAAAGGGAAAACAAAACAATCACAAAGTACCAAGGGTAACAAGCCTCAGATCTGTTGGGGCGAGCAGAAGCAATCCTCCAAGAAGGAGCTTGCAAAATGCCAGCAGCGCAACCTTGCAAGAAGCAGTAGGAATCATGGTCATATATAGAGCGGAAGCAAATGCAGCCACAAGAAATGTCCAGCCTGTGGACAGAAACAACAAGGGTTTTAAAAGACACTGGTAAAAACTACAGAGAAAGGACTAAAGAGAGTCTGTGTCCAAATTAACACAGAAAAATGCTTTGTAGAAGCATTTAAAGGATACTTAATGAAATAAAGCCCTGAATGTAGACGGATCCCTTTTTACTTACAGGTAAATTAGAAACAAAGTCTCACAAGAAAACTTAGTCAAGTAAAAAGTGAACCACAGAGTGGGAGAACAGCTGATATATATATATATATAGATATATAAACATATATATATATAAAAACACACGCATATATACATATATATATATATACATATATATATACAGTGGGAATCTGACAGTCTGGTGATTTGGTGACAAGATTGCCATCCAGAGTGCTGGCACAATTTCATCCCTAGGATGGCTATTCTGTTTACATGTGTCTTAGGCTAGGCACTTGGATGTGTGACAAGACTGACACCTAAGTTGTCCTATCAAAGTTTAGTGCTCAGTCTAGGGTGTTTTTTCTACTCTGCTAGAACAATCATAGATCCAAGTACCTGCAGGGCCAATTCACTCCATCTTAATGAAGGTGTTCAGAGCAGCCTGTGGCATGTAGGTGTTTCCAGCTCTCATCACTGGCTAATGGAAAACCCAAACTTTCCTCCAGCCACCAAATTTTACCTCCCTCCCCTCACCATATTCATCTGAACTCTTAGACTGCACCTCTCAATCATTCAGAAACAACCAGAACACAAGCTATGTAATGAAAGCTCTGCAATACAAGGCACATATATACATGGAGAGAGCAACAGAAACAGGCAGCAGGGGTACTCCCATAGAAGGAAGCTGGTTCCAACTTCCACATGGAAATAACTAACCACAGGCAGAGCCACAGAAAGGCATCTTCAGTTCCTTTCAAAAAAAAGAGGAGGAGATACCTATGGATTCTGGAGCATGGAAAGTAAAGACAAAACATAGTGACATATCAAAACCTGTGGGCACTACAGAGACCCAAGCTGAAAGCTGAAAAGAATGTATATTATCAGCTGCATATGCAGCTTTCCCCTACAAGGTGGAGTCTGAATATATGAGACTGCTGTTTAAACTTGATCACCAGAATGAGGTACGTGAATTCTTTGCCCTAAATGAGCTGGCTTATTCACCGTTAAAGCCTCACTGCAGCCAGGTGTTCTGAGTCAGGGTTCCCATTCATCACTATCTAGGCATGCTGCAGAAACACTGTATGAAAAGAGAGGAAAAAGGTTTGACAGAAAGTACAAAGTAAGCAGAAGCCAAGAAAAAACAAATCAGAACAGAAGCAATCCAAGTCAGGAATAGATGGAAACGAATGGACATTCCTCACTTCTGCTATCAGAAAGACATTTTCAGCTCTGTTGAAAAGAGGCTTTGTATCCTCTTCCCCTGCTTCTAGCTGCTCTGTAACGCAGCTCACTTACACAACATGGCATAATTGGTGGGAACCCCTAGCATGCTATAAATCCCAGGTCATGTAGCACCATGGTCCTACATTTTCTGAGGGCTTTTTCTTGATTACTTAAGAATTCATACACACAGAGATATTTAATGAATTACTAAGACAAATTCTCCCCTCTGACTTCTTGGGCACCTGATCCTGCTTCCAAAAATACGAATCTAGAGAGTTCATCAGAACAGCCCCTGAAGACACACATTAATCCCTGTGCAGATTAATGAGGTTAACCCACACAGATAGGCTGGAAGCCATCAACTGACTGACCTGCTGATGGCTTGCAGACCAACACTGACTTCAGTGGGTCACCAGCTCACATGTTGAATCAGGCCATATTTTAACGGGAAGCCATTTATACTAAACCAGATATTCTTTCCCTTGCAACTACAATTCTCTTCAGTTTACTAATACTTAATGCTTTCTTCAATGTTAGAAAAAGCACAGAACAAAGGATCTACATTTACATATATTAATAGATTTAAAAATAGATATATACACATATAAAAAAAAAACAATATAGAAGAGACTTTGTGGTTATTTTTAGCTAACATAAGAGGTTAATTCAGTGCAATAAAGCCTATGAACTTGTGAATGACTACAAAAATCACTTGTATAGTGAAGTTGAAAGAGCCATACTGAATGCATTCCAGTAATTTCTTCCTATCCAGGTATTACTGCCCCACTGCAGTGAGCTCAAGTTAGATCTCTGAGCTAAGACAGATCAGACATCACAGCTCACACAAGAGAAACTCCATGGAAAGGCTGCTTTATTTCCACCAGATACACAAGTGGCACAAATGGGGTTTTCCTATAGCTTTGTTTTTCCTCATCCCTATAGGTTAAGATGGACAGCACTGGGTTACGCTGATTGCCCCTTACAGAGGCAAAACAGCATGTCAAGTTTCATTCTCCCCATTCCATCCCAAAACTGAGCAAGTCACCTCGCTTACTGCTGACAACAAATGGCTGTGACCAAGTCGTTCACCAGCCCAGCCTCAGTGATGCTTCTGCAATAAACAGCGTGTCATTTTCCATGAGGAAAATAGCATGTCGTTTTCCATGAGGAAATGGTTAATTCAAACAAAGCCTTTATATTTATGAGCTTACTTTGGCACCCGGTTTTCATGTCAGCATTATGAGTATCACAAGGAATGCAAAAGAGTATGACAGAATCATCTAGGTGACAGGCAGCTGTAATGTAACAGCATCCATGAACATCAAGCAACTAATGTGCTAGTTTTGAGAAGAAAGCTTCCTTGCTGACAAGAAGTCACTCATGCTAATTGAAGTCCCATGCTTGGTTACAGTAAATGACAAATCTCAGGATCTCACATAAGAAAGCTATCCTTTGATACATCTACAGGCTTGTCGTGCTATTCTGACTTATGGTAAAATAAAGACACAGGACAGGAGGCTTTTGAAACTCCAAAAACATGAAGAAAAATAATGGAACTCATTACTGAGCAGTTTTGACTTGTTTGAGGTCTGCTTTTGCTAGTGAATGGAACAAATGATGTTACGGGGTGAAAGCTGCCAAGTTTCATTAGAGTACTTCTGTGAAAGTGTATGATCTCAGAGGCTATACATGTCAATTTACAGTAGAGTTTAGATTAAAGTGATGAATGTGTATCTAGTGTACATTTAAATGCAATTCTAAAAGAAAACCAAGCTGGGGCCTTCGTGTTCAACATGCCACTGCAGATTCTCCAGTGTAAAAGCAGAGCACCTCAAGCTCTTGCTAGTCTCTACTGTGAACAATGCTGTATTTAATTAAATGTCCACTATAATTGTAAAGTTCATTTCCTAACCCTGGCTTCAGCTACAAGAATACAAGCAGTTTGAACAGTGTTTCATATCTGCTTGATCGGTAAAAGCTGTCAGAAGGTCCTGTCAAACATGAAACAGAGTAAAAGATGAATTTCCCAGTAAACACAGTTGTATTTTTCCTCTCTTTAGCTCAGGATGCTGGTTACCATTTCATTGTTTCCCTTCACAGTGAGCAGCCCAAGCACTCGTTCCTCCTGAAACCATTTTAGTATTTTGCTACTCTATTCACACAAAAAGCCATTCACTGAACCAGGCGCATGAAGAAAACAACATGGGCAAGGGGGCTATACTCTTACTTCCACGTGTGGCAAGTCCATTCTTCACTCAGGATGTATTTAGGTATTTTTATCTCCCCGTTTACAACACACACCCAAACCACAGCTAAACTTACACAACTAGAAACTCCCAATTCTGTCACTAGTTTAATGGAGCACAGGAGCAAGCTTCCTTCTTACGTCTCACATATTTCCTTTGAAAGGGGTAGGCGGTGTGAGGCCAGCTGGGCCTATGTGAGGAACTACACATTGCCTACAAAGGGTAGAACGCTGCAGAGAGCCTCCATGTCAAAACCTTCCCAACTAATAACTTACTGTCAGTGCAGAGCAGCAGACAGATGATGTTCTAGGGCCGAACACCAAGCACGCCATGGACTCAGCAGCTCCCCAGGCTACACTGACACCTTTGGTGTTTAAGCTGGTCCAGGCAGCAGCTGGCTATGTAGTACTCAAGCTGTACTTTATGGCAAGTAGCTGCATGCATTTGGAGGAAACTTCACATTTTTAGAATCAGGTCAGTTTATACTGATATTTAACACGGTGCTTGTAGAAACAGGACCTACCAGCATCTGCTGGCAGCTGTGCTGATACACACACAGCTCCTCTTCAGTGCATGACATAGGAAACCGGGGAAAAGATTCTGCTTATTATGTGACTGCAGGTTTGCTGACTTCAGCTCTGGTATCTGGATGCAGCAGGCCAAGAAGAAGAGGCAGAGATGCAAGCAGACACCAGCCTAAGGAGCAGGAAGGCTGCTTCCTGGAAATAGCCTGAAAATCTCTACCTCTCTCCACAAGCTGCAGTAATATCCTTGTGCATTTAGGTGGAAGCAGGACTTTGAACCACCTAATTAGCTGAAGAATGAGGTAATCAGCAGCAAGCTAATGCCTACAAAATAGGTATGTATTTTTAAATGTTGGAGGAGACTTCAGAGGGTAAGACCATAGGTCGTAGATAAGCAGTAAGGCGTCAGAATGATACTCGAGTGGTATTCTGTTTTACACTGAGGCCCTTGAGCTAAAAAACAAAGGCCACTAAAATAAGAAGTTGTGTTTACTGGGTCCCTAGACTTACCATCTAATACAGCTATTCATCAAAATACTGCATGCTTTTTGCATGACACGCGTCTTGTTCAATCAATGGAAAACTGCTAAAAATCTCCTAAATATCCTATTCTAAACAACGCTTAGCAGCTACAACCAGAGCCTGATTTTGATTTATTGAATAATTTGACCGGAGAACACCTTAAGTCACAACAACATTAAGTGCAATAACTTTTCATTCCTTTGCTGAACACCATATGAAATTAAACAAAATAAAAATTGACAGCACCAAGTTATCCTGAATCTATTCCAGATGGATTAAGTTCCCTGTACGTATTAAATGGAGGTTTTTAGCTTGGGTTTGACATTGCATTTCACCAGCTCCCAACACCAAATCAAAAATAACCTAGGATGCGGTACCAGTTCCATTTCAATTCTAAATATTTCTGATACTAATTACAGAGCAAAGGGAAAATGCTGAAGACATTTCAACTCGAACAGCCCTGCCATTCTGATTAACAAATATCAGCTTTACATCTGCAAGAAATTTATAAAGTGGGCTCTTTACAAATTGTTACGGAGCAATTTGTGCACAGTTAGTTCTTTGTTTAATCGAGAAATCTGCCCAAACCCTGATTGTGTGCTTATTTCCCTAAGGCTGGGAGTGAAGGTTATTTCATTATGCCTTTTGGGAGCAGCAATCTATCTAATACGTTTCTGAATTATTCCAGACTGAGCCGAAGCTGAACATGAGAACAAAGCCCTGCTTCCACAGCAGAAAGACCAGCCTAACTCCCAGCTGGGAAGACTTAGGCAGAGATTTATAAGTACAAACACTGAAGAAATTTGTAACTAATTGCATGTATTTGCTCTCTGTTGTGGTATGCAGTAAACTAATATTTATTAAAACATATCAGCACAGCACTGCTCATTACACCCTTCCCAGTCTCTTCTTGCAAGGTTTTAATGACGGTTTGGTTTGGGATTTTTCCTTTATTCTTTCAGAGCAAGAGTGCTAACGAAAGAGGGCAACAGAAATCAGGATCACCGACTGATGCCTGCTCTTTACGGAGGCTAGAATGTACACAAACCCCATCTCTGTAATTACACAGAATATTGTAATTGCTGCCAGTGAGTAGAGGGGAAATACACTACTCCTCCCCACTCTATTTATCAAGAACAACAATCTTCTGGAGTCTATGGACCTTCACAAACCATCACCTTTGGAAAGTAACTGTGAGATACTCAACTTTACCATTACCTACCTATTGTGTTTCTTGCTACATATTGAAATACCCATGTATTTCATTAGTGCCTACACACTGTAGGTACACACTTTGCAAGAACATTTAGTTTAGCTGCTGCTGTGGTTTGAAGTGTTGGTTTAGCCAGCACTGGTAAAGCCTTAGTGGTCCCAAGCACTAGTTATGTCAGAGATCACTTCATTCAATGCCCAGGATACGGCACTAAGGATCACCACATGTAATTGTCATGGTGGGAACCCCATTTAACTGCAACACAGGTGGGTTTTTTTGAAGAGCAGGGTCTTCTTTCATGGTATTTTCTTCTCCAAATGTTTTGTTCAAGTCTGAGCTAAACTTAAGTCACTTTAAGTTTAAGCAAATGGAAGGCATTGCTTTCCAAATGTTTCCTAACAAAGTGGGCACCTGGAGAAGTCAGAGCAATATCTGATACTGGAGAACCCAGATTTATTGCATGCAATCATGGTCCAAAACTGCCTATTCCAAATACAATTTGTTTCAAGCCTCTTTAATGTTGCTAGGTGACCGAAGCATACATAGCTAACACATCACTTCCAAATGATTAGCAAAAAGTAAAGGAAGAAGTGACTGTGGACATAAATTGGACTCTGTCCTTGCACCCTCATCAGGTAAGGAAACATATATTTCCCACCTACTGGAACCTTCATTGCAACCTAAACTGGTAAGATTTTACAGTATAATATCACATTCAACTGTTATAAGAGGGCACAGTTCCTATTTATTTGAAAGCAAATATTCCTGTTTAGCACTTGCAATATCCAAAAAAAGATGTTCCTGCATCATCCTGTATGGAGATTTCAAGAGGAAACGTTTGTTAACACACAGCTTTGGTAAAAATGTATAGCTAGCCACTTGTACTTCGGGGTTTTAGGAATGTATCATAAGCACTTAGCATAATACACCAGGTTTATTACTCTTTCATGCAAGATTTGCTCTGTAGTTCTTAGGATTTTGACATTAGAGCTACAAAAGCAGCACTTGGGGCTTTAAAACCAATAGTCAGAATTTAGTCTGCCTCTGTCTACTACAAAGCTAAAATAACTAGTAATTACTTGGAGTTGAGTTAATGTAGCTTAAAGTTGGTAAGAATGGTGTGCTTATTTACTATGTGGGCAGTGTAAGATTTATGACAACCTTAACTATTAATTTTCACATTTGTAAGTGCTGGGATTGTCTAAACTATGAGACAGGTTAACTCCACTGTTTTCACTTAGCAACTGTAACTGGCTATTAAAAGGAGTGTTTTCTTTTTAGAGTTTCCCCATGAGGCCTCTGCACTACTTTCCACATCCAAGTTCCTTTCTTTCTATGCGGATACCTGAAGTTTCAGCCTCGTTGCACGAAGGCACTTTACTGGGGACAACAATTAAGCAGACACTCAACTCTGAGACTTTTCAGTAACAACCTGCAGTGTGTGGAATGCAAGGACACGAATAAACGCTGCAATATGACAATGAGCTTAAGAGTATGGTTTGGTTTTGAAAAAGCCTCTTTCAGTAAGTGTGAAAAAAACCATGCGCCCAACATGTAAAAATGAAGGTGTGAGTAGAGCCGGCCAGACTGATAATTGCTCCCCTGGGACCTACCATGTTCACTGCACACCTGACAACATCTGCACTTTCATTATGAAGCAAAATTAACCAGGTGCATTACAGCACAGCCTATTTTCACCTTGGTTACTGGCAAAATACACACAAGGATGATATCACTGTTCAAAGCTACAAGTTAGGGCCAAGATTTGCAGGAACCCTAATCAGGCTGTAAGAGTGGGATTCACTTTACTAGGCATTCGGAGTGTAAATCCTATTTATTTGAGACTCCAATAAGTTAAAATACTCTCAAAATGACCAAGCACCCAAGAGCTTCCAAAAAACCCCCCAAAACTTTGATACTCAGGACTTCTGAAAATTCAACCAGTTATTTTACATTGCTGCCTCAAGCTCTAGTTTAACCCCACATGGTTCCAGAAGCAACTTCACAGCTTAAACAGTAATTAACTATCTAAATACTGACCCAACCTCAGTTCTTAAGCTGCTCCACGTGAAAAAAATCTGGCCAATAAGAACACTTTGAAAGAACAAGTATGAGGCGAAGGGTCAAAAAATTACCCACATTGAAAACCAGGCTAGGAGCAAAGATTTGAATCCACTTTCGAAGTCTTTCTAGTTAATTGGTAAGGCATGGGCTTAGCACATTAGACAAAGACTTTTATTTGTGGCTTTGCCACGAACTTCTTTGGAGATCTCCAACAAATCTCAACCTCTCTGCCTGTCAGTTGCTACAAACACAGTATCTGTGCACGCTGCTCTGAGAGAAAACTAGCACTTCATGCAGAACACATGACATGGGGCCTCTCAATCAAACCCCTGGAATTTTGCTTCATTTTGGGGAAAAAACACATGGGTCGGTGATGAAAACATTCTCCCCTACTAGCTGCTCTATATTGACTTTATTTAAGAGCTATTGTGTTTAACAAGTCCCTTACTATCTTAGAAAACTGCTTTCTTGAGCAGATGGAAAGATTTACTTCCCTATATTGGACCTGGTAAAAAAAAATAGGGTATGTATCAAGAAACAACAGAACGGACAAGAGACCAAAAGTATCAGAGGAATGACTTCTACTCAAGCTCGTTTAGAAGTATTTCACCTGTGTTCTTGTTTTTAGAAGACAAGATCTAACCCTGAACATACTTGCAAGCCTTCAGGTGTTTTGGGTGGGGTGGGGAAGGGTTTCATCCCTAACAAGTAAAAAACTGGTTTATGTGCTTCACAGGATGAGACCCTCCGCTTTGCTGAATGAGCTCTGCCTACCTGCCAAGCCAAGTCTAGACCCCACTGTTCCATACTGTACCATCCCAGACTCAGGAAAAAACCCATCTGCCACCTTATCAGAGACCTGTATGTTCTTCCAAAGCTGCAGCCAGTGCTCATATACTGGGGAGTTGAGCTGACACCTACTGTGTGCTCAAAACCTATCAGAGCTGCTTGAATGACATTCTGCTCTGCCACCCAGTATTCAGGTCCTTGCTGTATCTTACAGGCTACACTGATACTGCCTTTCCCAAGACAGAAAGCTTTGCAGCACAAGCAAGCTCAGGACAGGATCTAACACTACACAGCTCACAGAAATAAGCTATTGGTTTGAAGATTTTCATTTCTCACAGCATGAATGGAAGACAGGTAAGTAAATTCCATGTGGCTCTAGCTTTGGGAGACAGAGGCCAGGAAGAAAGTATGCACAGAGGTGAGGAGAATTGATGGTTCTGGGGATATTTGAGCACAGATGAACCTAAGTGTGAAAGGGAGAGTCAAGGTTTCGCCTTGTTTTCCATGAAAAGTTTGGATGATCTTGATGGAAAGAGAAGACCAAGTTGTTGTGCACCAGGAGACACCCTAAAAGGCTCTGAAGAAAGACAGTTTGGAAATCCAGCCAGCTTTTTTGTTTTTCCTAATCAAATTCTCTGTTAACGTGATTTCCATCTACAAGAAGGGTTCAACACAACAGCGGGCAACTGAAATCCACTGCAGCAATTTAACTGAGATGAATTCCTACAGTTCTCACAAATAGCATTGTATTTCATAGATTTCTTGAGTATATGTTTCTTCTTGCAGGGCTAGTACCTACAATTTCTGTGGTCACTTCTGAAAGAAATCTGTAATACAGTATTCAGCAGCTGTATGTTATGGATGCAAATACTTCATGCACACACTTCTGTTGTATTGCCTTTTCTTTTCACACTGGGAAATGTTACCTAAATGCCAATAAAAAGACAATCGGGTGCAAGCACCAATTTACTTTGAACAAGTCCTTGTCCACTACACACTTGTTAGCCTGAGCGCAGTTTGGATTAAACTTTTGCTCCTTCCTAACAAAAAAGGTAAGATTCTGCTCCTGCTATAAAATACAGCATTTACTACTGTAGGAAAAAAAATAGACTAATGAGAGCTATAAAGCCCCAAAGCTGCAATGAAATTTTTAATATATGTAATAGAAATATACACACCCCTATATATTTATACACAGAGAGGTTTGGGTAGCACATGCTGTAGTAGATTTATGTAACAACTTACAAGACCCTATTTTTAGCTGATAACTTTCTGGAAACTTCTTTTTTAGGAGTTATGTTTTCCATACTTATTCTCCTATTGAGTCAACTCAAGTACCTTAGTTTTGGTTTATGTCACAGCCTAATGGATTTTCGTTTTCATATATTGTTTTCCTCTCACAATGAAAGAATGGCTGAACTTTACAGTTTGAACTCCCAGGATGGCTGACCCCCACTGATTACAGGGTGCTTTTGTTGATTTAGAAAACACAAATACTAATATTAGTAAATGTTACCATGGTGTATGTACAAACACTGCAATAGCCAGTCACTTCCCTGTCTCCAAGAGACATCATTCCTCACACCCTGGGTAAAGGCAAGCCTAGGAGTCAGCCCCAGGACCCTGAAGGCAACTCTATCCATTGCTTGCCTCGATACAGACTGCACAGCTGAATCACTGGACCACCACATTCGTCGATCACATTCTCATCAAGCTGTCCAAAATCAGCACTTCCCCTTTGTCCCATCCTGCCCACTTGCCTTTAGGATGGAAAGGGAAGGGAGCCAGGGCTCTTAACAGAATAGGTCACAATTTGGCTCTGTATAGCCAAGCACATTTTTCACCTTAAACACACTCAACCACTCTGTGCTGAAGCGTTGCTAAACTGCAGCATGGACTTTTGGTTTGAAAAGATGCTTCATAATGGCACCTTACACCCAAATTACACAAAGAGCCATTAAATTCAATTAAATACTTAGCACTGG